CATAGAATTATAATATATTCAATCATTGTGATCAAATGATAAAATATAATTAATTAATTAATTATTTTATAATTCTAAAAATATAAAAAAAATATTATTAAATAAGAAACTTCTATTGGTCCGTGGATATGAAAGATCATCCATAGAATTATAATATATTCAATTGTTGTGATCACATGATAAAATATAATTAATTATTATTTATTTATTTTTAATTCTAAAAATATAAAAAATCAAACAAATACTAAAGAAGAAATTTCAATTGTTCTTTGGATATGATAGATAAATCCATAGATCTAAAACAAATTTAGTCTTTATAGGCAGAGAAAAATTACATTTTTCAAATTTTTTATTAATTTATATTTCCCCAAATATCTTCATAAAATTTCCATAAATTTATTAATAACACAAAAAAATTATGATTTTGAATGTAAGAAATGTAGATCAACATAAATTTAAACATTCGATAAAAAAGAAATAACAAGATATTATAAAAATTTAAAAAAATTTACCTATTTTGCTATATTTTTTCAAAATTTGAAAAATTTTCAAAAAAAATTAACAATTCACACTTGTTTCTTGCAATTTTTTTTTTTCAAATCTGGCACTCTAAGAATGAGGTTTGGAGTTTTAGAGTCATTTGGGGGGTGAAAGAAGGCTTATTTCAAGGAAAAAAGCTTGCTTTTCCTCTTTATTTTTTTTCCAATTTTTGGCCATATCTTTTTCATCGATACGCTACCGATACAATACACCCCGATACGGGTCCGGTATGCATGAAAAAAAGACAAGACATCTGATTTCCATGCGTATCCCGTATATGTTTTTCAAAGATACAATATAGTATCGAAATTTTAAACCTCGAGATGCTTCCCTCCTCTATTCTCTCTCTCTCTCTCTCTTATCTTTTTACACAGTGTTGACTTCTACCGACTTCATATATATATTTTTTTGTTAAATTTGTTGAATTCTTCTAAGGGGCATTTTGATTTTGGATTTTGAGAGGGGGGAAAGTTGGTCAATGGGATTTTGGTTCCCATTGACCAAGAATCCCATGTTCATTTTTTAGATTTATGTGGAGATTAGGGAAAGCTTATTTTCCTGGGTATCACTTACCCGAATAAGTGATACCCATCTCCTAGGTGGGTAAATAACTTTCCCACCTAGGGGGAAAGTTGTTAACACTTGAATGGGACAAAAATGCCTTTTTTAATAATAGACTTTTATGGCTAAAATGGTCATTACCTTATTTACCTAAGAAATAAAGGAACATGGGTACATGCACTTGCTTGGGTAAATGTTTCCCAAGAAAAACTTACCCCGGTAATAAAACTTACCCAAGTAAATAACTTACCAAAAAGCAATGGGGCCTTAAGATCACTCTGCCTTCCTTGCCTTCCCCGCCCTTGGTGGGTGTTCTCAAGATCACTCTGCCTTCCCCGCCCTCCCTTTCTCTCTCTACTCAACAATGCCATATTTCATTTTCTCTATTCAACAGTGCTATATATTTTGTTGATTTTTGTAGGTTCCTATCTGATATTGTTTTTTCAACTTTTGATTTTTCAACATAGATAGTGAGCAAAATCTATGCTTCATCTTTACTCTATAATCAAGCTTGATTTTTGGCACCGATGCCGTTGAGAAAACGGTGTCACGTAGATGCTACATCAAAGAAAATGGTATTTCAGAAAACAATTTATTTGATACCGTTTTTCTAGAAAAAAATTATTCCAGACCATATCTTGAAAATTGGTAAAGTGTGATTTGAATAAACACTATATTTTCTCAAAAAACATTCCTTTACTGCCAGCGATGCAATGATATAGCATCAATATGATATCATCTTGGATGTTAGATAATATAGACCAATGCTGAAAACGGTTCTACAGCATTATAAAAAAAAAAAATCATTAAAACTTGTTGCATTAATATGCAAACCCTTGTTGCTATCAAGCTTTCAGCGTAGGTTTATGCATGTGGATGTTTTGGTGGCAATGCCATCGGTAAGGGGAGAATCAAATCAACAGTGGCAGCAATTTATTAAACGTTATTTTCGGTACTTTTATTTAAGCGGGTCCAATAGTAATAGTATTGTTGGGCCATTCTAAGTCATATGATCCAATGGCGAAAACCGTTGTATGTATGAAAGTGGATATGCATGCGCAACTCCAAGTGTTTTGAGATTGATGTGAGGAGTAAATCCAAATTTATGAAGAGCAGGAAGTGAGAAATAATGTTCAGAGAATTGAATTGGGCAAAAAATCGGAGATGGAAGATGTTCATAGTTCAAAGAATCAATCAAGGTCAAATTAAAGATTGAATCGTGATACCATAACATATATATTTATATATATATACATACATACATACATACATACATACATACATACATACATATATATTAGGAGATCTGAACTGACCAACACCCTTACACCCTCGCCAAGGCCCCTCCTTTAGTCCGGCACGACAGATGAGAACACATCATATTACATCACGTAATATTGTATTTGCTTTTTGTTGTGAGCTCAGCCTCTCATTCTCTTTATGCCCTTTTATCTAATCTGCGTATCGGAGACTCCACCCAGGGGAGAACTCTAGGAACTTTAATATTTTCTATGATCGTAGGTTGCCAGAATCCTAGTTCTTCTGGTCTTCTCTTTGTTGCATATCTGAATCGCAACTGTAACTTTTGATCTAGCCGTTTGTATTCGATATATAATATGTGAAAACAATCGTCTCAGCAAGTACTACATACTAACAGACAAGCCCGAAGATTTTATTTGCAGTTTTTGAGAACGAAGTCCTTGTTTTGGTCTCTAAAATTAGATTTTCTAAAACCTTTCCCTTTATAAAGTTTATATCTTTGGTTGGTTTAACACACGATTTTCAAAATTGGACCGGAATGGATGACCGGACCGGAAAAATTGGGAAGCATTCAAGTAATCGGTTCTGTTTTTCTCCAAAACTGGATATTTGCAAAAAATGTTGCTTTAGTCAGTAAATCACTGATTTGGGTGGTTGAACCATTTAACGGTTTTGACCTTTTTTATTTTTTAGTTTTTTTTAATTTTTTATATTTTTTTATCAGTATGGGCCGACCGTTCAACCTGGAAACCGGACCCCTGATTGATTTGTTCTCTGGGTCGGTTTTAAAAATCTTGGTTTAATATATTTTGAATATGAGTTGGTTTAGGAAGTCTCTTCAGTTAATTACTTTAATGCGGAATTAAAAGTTGAGAGAGAGAGAGGGGAAGGTTGATAGTTGTAACAACTGATAAAGACTTCATTAATATCAGCAAATTTTTTTTTTTTTCGCTTCATGGGAACACAACAGGGGTAGCCCATCCCCTTTCCCTTAACCCCCCCACCCCTGGTGGCAGCGAGATTTGATCATAGGTCTCTATTCGGACGAGTCAGAGAACATACCAACTGAGCCACCATTAGTTGGCATTAATATCAGCAATTCAGCATAGACTTTTTGCCCTTGGAATTCGGCATAGAGCTGTCAATGATTGAGGCTAATTGAGCTTATTAGATCTGACCCAATAGAGCCGATTATAAATAATAAGGTTTTTTTATTGCTATTTTCTCTTGCTCCCTTTTCAACATTTCCAATAAAATTGTTATATTTCATGTAAAATCATTAGGTAATTAGGGGTAGAAATGAATCAAGCTTTTTATGAGTTATTTGAGATCAGTTTATGAAAAGTTCAATTAAGTTCAGTTATACTTATAACCGAGCTTCAAGCTGAGTTTGAATTCGATATATAGGCTCATTTATTAATCAAGCCAAGCTTGAGTGAAGCTCGCAAGCCTAATGGAGCTATTATCTATATCTTTCGCCTATCTATCTATCTATCTATCTATATATACAATTTTTATTATATACATACATACATACATACATACATAATAAATAATTTTTATAATTATTAATTTTTTATGCAAAACAAAAAATAACTTTTATTTTTTATAGGAAGCTTGGCTTATAATCGAACTCAAGTTGAATCAAGCATGAACTTGGGAGCTTTTGAGCCGAGCGAAATTTGAGCTCAAACCTAATATTGTTTTGGTGAGACGGGCTTAAATAACCAGGTATTCAACTTGGTTCAACTCGAATCCACCCATACAGAGATAACAAATGCAAGACATATGATAAATATTGAAAGGTAACCTTGTCAAGTGCTAATATATATTTGCATGATTGATTCAGGTTTGATTGGGTTATAATAGGTAAAACCGGTCCTGATCCTATTATAATTTGGACTTAAAATGCACACCTATACTTGATTCATTAATACCAGGAGTTAAATGAAGACCCAATTACCCAAACCCTGTATAAAAGGGTCAGATTGGTTTGAAGTGTGAATAAACACTGGCCCATTCATACCTTGTACTAAAATTTAATTAATTATAATGAGGCGACAGGAATTGAAAACTAGACCATTTGGTTAAATAGACTCTTCTGATATCATCTCAAGAAACGGTTCAATCTAAAAAATTAGCTATTTATTAAATGAGGTTCCTGAATGGGTTTTTATTGGCTAGATATTAACTCTTAAAAGAGTTTTGGTTTTTCTTTTTTTTGTGGATCATTCTCTGACTGTGTTCCTTCCATTTATATCTTCTCACAAACTATCTTCCATTTATATTTTAGTCAGAAAGGAAAATACAGGCTGAGTTTGGTTGCGGTGAAAATTTATTTGCATTGATACAAAACTATGATAGTAAATATGAATTGGGTGCAAATTCTGATTAATGTTTTGTTGGAAATTTTATACTTATTTTGTTTGGTTGTATACAAATAAAATAAAATAAGATCTGGAGCAGAACAAAGTAAAACCTAAAATAAAATTAAACCAGAATTTGTATTCTTTTTATTTGCGTTCTCATGCATTTGTACTAATACAAATAAAATTACATTTTTGTTTTTACATACATTACAAACTTATTACAAGAAATCAAGAAATCAACAGCTTTGAAGTAACAGTAACTTCTTATGCATTTACATATAACACATTCATATTTATTCCATATAGGCACAAACAATCACATATGTAGCTGAATCTAAATCCTCAATTGGCACTTCCATCAGTTAATGATCCCATCCATGCTGGAGGTAGCATTCCTGTTTGCTCATGGACTGTCTTAAACAATGGTGGCAACATCCGGTACACTCCGGCAACTTCTGCCATGGCGTTGCTGCTCCCTGATCCATCGGCCGCCTCCCGGCCGCTTCCATTGCTCCAAATGCTGATCTTTGGCTGCAATCCTTTCACAGCCTCAGCATTGATCTTAGCAATCTCTTGAAACATGCCATTGTTGATCATCATGTAGTCTCTTAATGCATTGTAATTGCCTCCTAGGGCTTCTAGGAGGGTGCGTAGGTAAACACCTTGAGCTTGGGCGAGCACCATTATTCCTTCGGCCTCTTTCTTCTTTGCATAGAGCTCTCCATCTGCAACTTGTTGACGAGCAAAGAAAGCTGCCTCTGCAATTGCTTTCTGTGCCTCAGCTTCCTTTTCCTTCTCATATAGCACTGCTTCTGCTGCCTTTTGTTTCTTATATAGCTCCCAGTTTGCTTCTTGTACCTTGTGAAATTAAGCATGTAATATATTGGACTCTTAGTTGCTTGAATTTTAGATTTTTTAGGGTTAAATCTAAAACTTGCCCGGGAACCAATCACATGTCTGGCTTTGCTTTTTTATTTACTTGGGTTTTCCTAAAAAACGTTGAATTGGTCAGCGAACTGTTGACTTGGACAGTTAAATTGGTAAATCGTTCGACTTGGTCCATTTTTTATTTCTTTTAAATTTTAAAAACATCACAGGTTGGCCGTTCAGACTGCACTGTCAAACTACTCAACCTGAAAATCAGTGGCCAAAGCGGTTTCATTTCTAGGCGATTATTAAAACATTGCTTCATCCAAATGGGCTTGGTCACTAAAATAATTAGGCTGCATTTAGCATTCCTTATTTTAAGGACTTATTTCCTTTATGCAGTTAAAATGCCCTATGAACAGTGATTTTTTAACAGAAAAAAAGAGATAAGTCCTTAAGCAGCCCTGCCATGCATGGACAACTTCTGCTAGGTCACTAATGGTGACCTGGTAGAAGGTAAGTTTAATTTATATAACAAAAAATCTCTAATACAGACGGGTCTTTGGAGATTTTGAAAAGTTAAAGTAAGTTTAAGGCCTCATTAATGTGCTTACTCGGATAAATGTTTCCTAAATAACACGTGGTTAAGCATGCAGGATAACATACTTACCCAAGTCGAGGGAGGGTATTAGTTACTTGGGCATCAATCTTCATTTTCCATAGGACCCGTTATTAACGTTAAGGCTATGTTTGATTTGAAGGAAAAAGTAAAGAAAGGAAAGGAAAGGTAGGAAAACATTTATAAATCTTGTATAGGTTTTCCTACCTTTCCCCACTTTTTCCTTCAAACCAAACACAGCCTAAATGAATGTAGATATATTGGTCAACGAACAGGGCCTAAGACAAATGGATAAAAATGAAGGGGAGTCTATGATAAGTATTGATAACCTCTTCTTTTATGAAAAAAAAAAAAATTATTGGGCTTGGGCTTGTTCAATCATAATAACCAGGCTTGGCTTGACTAGTTTTACTTGTAGGAAGTTGGGTTGGGCTTGGGCCCAAAAATCCGAATCTACCCTAAGCCTGTATTAACTATTATGTTCAAATTGTTCAGTAGATGGTGCATACCCTGGTCTCGTACTCGACACTGGCCTTGCTCAGTAGTTCGGCCCTGAGTTTCTCTGTTCGTGTCAACGCGTTCATCCTCTCCACCTCCTTCTGCAACTCCGCTTCCCGAATGGCCACCGCCTTGGCTGCTTCCACCTCCGCCAGCTGAGACTGCCGAGCCCACCCAGCTTTCTTCATCGCCAGCTCCGCGTTCGCCTCGGCAACGTCAGCCTCTCTCTGGTTCTCGAATATCTTCACCTCGGTTTTCACTCTAATCTCTTCTTTCTTCCCATCTCCCTGCCTCTGCGTTGCTATAATCTTTGTCTCTGCATCGATCCTAGCTTCGTTCTGCAGTGTCTTCCCTTCACGAGCCTTGGATCCAATCTCACCTTTCATCTTTGCTTCCGCCACGTCAACTTTGGCCTGATTGGCGGCCTCCATCTGGATCTTCTGGCCGAGGTAGGAGAAGTACTCATGGCCAGGCACGTCCACCAGCTGCTTCACATTAGCATTATAGATCAAAAGGCCGAACTGGTTAAGCTCAAGCTGGACCTTCTCGAAGACTTCTTGTTTGAATTCTTTGGTGCCTTTGAAGATCTCTTCCATGGTCATTGATGCTGCGAGTACACGAGTTTCACCCTCGATTACTCCTTTAACGAGCTCTTTAACGTGGGCAGAGAGCTTGTCGTGGGCGGACATGAGCTTGGCGTATTTGAGGAGGCTGGTCTCGTCGTCGGCTCGGGGACCAATGGTGAAAACGGCAGGGAGGATGAAGGGGAGCTTCTCGGCACTCATGGCCTGGACTTCGAAGGTATAGTTTACAGGGGAGATGTCGAAGACGGTGTAGGACTGGCCGGGAAGGATCCATGCCTTCTTTTCTAGCTTTATGTCGTCTATGCCGACGCCGGTGATCGCTAGGTACTGCGACGCACTTGCCACCCTATACATGGCTGTATGTGTCTGTGTAGTAAGAGAGAGAGAGAGAGAAAAGGGTGGTGGTGGTGGGACTTACATACAATTTGTTAGAAGAGGAGGGACGAATTTATAGTTGACAGATTTAGAGATTATCACTTACGAAAAGAAAAAAAAATTAGCGATTATCTGTACTTTGGTTCTAGTCAAATTTGTGTTAACATTTGACAAATTTAGAGATTGTTTATATTTCTTGTGTTGCGGCTGGAGGGGAATTTCAGAGGAAGCTTATTTATAAGTTATAAACACCATTGACAAATACCCCTCTCTACTTTCATTTGTAACAAATACCCCCCTTAACTTTTATATTGTGACAAACACTCCCCTTCATCAGCAAATTTCATAAAAGATTTTCATTTGACTGTTTAAAGATTCTTTAAATTTTAAAACTGCCCTTTTGTTTTTTTTTGAATAATTTTATCCTTTCACTTACACTTTGATAACCCAACAATTCCTGAAAATATTTGTTTTTATATGATTAAATATATTTTCTTTTAATATCATCCTCTTTGGCCTTTTGTAATACTAAGGTAGTCGGACTGGGAAAAACTTTGGCTGTTTGTTACTCTGTTAGGTCAGAAATACAGATAATAGTATGACATATTATCCCACTCTGTTACTCTGTTAGGTCAGAAATACAGATATGGATCATGCATATACAAGATTTTCAACTGAACATATTTATAATTGCAAATAATCGTTTACCCCACACCCTTATAATATGTCATGAACAGGAAGTTCCCTGGTGGGAAGACTTTGAATATGAAATTTATATCTCTAGGTCAATGGTCAAAATATTGATACACGCAATGCTGTATTGATGCATAATCGATATAACCGATATATATTCTTTTTCTATAAGACAGTTTGAAAAGAATATAAATACAAATATATATAAAATAATACAAAATACAAGGTTTTACACTTCGTATTTGTATTCCTTTCAAACTGAGCCTAAGCATCAAATGTATTTTATCATCCTAAAGTTTTAAAGCCTCTCAATCATGTATACATCAGTATATTCATGTGTATAAAAACCCCAAGCATGTGTAAATCCATGTGTATCCAGGTGTATCAACACGGATACGATACTTGACTCTTTCTTCCGGTGGCAGGAACCCAAATGAAACAAGAACTGAAATAGATTTAAAAGATCATTTTTATTCCAACCGGTCATGTGTTCCTTCGTATTTCATATTTTCGTTCTGTTTCATGGATTATCTGTCACGCCTTATTTGTAGCAGATACGGAGTTGAATTGTGTTAGTTTTACAAGGGACTTCGGCTGGCGCTTCTCAGAAATGCTTTAATATTATTAATTTTCAGATAGTCAGCAATAAGAGAGAGAAAGAGAAAACTCCAGGAATTTGCTTGGAACCAACTGCAAAATGATGATGTTTCAATTGGTAAATTCCCTCGGGTTGTAGGGGAGACTTGGGATCAAATTCTGCTGTCAGGGTTGGGGTCATGGCCTTATGGGTATGAGTATGGGCTGCCCCGTTGTGTAATCTCATGAAGCAAGAAAAGAGAAATTTGCTTGGTGATTTAAGAATTAGGTAAGGTGTTAGATGGAGTGTTTATTTGGAAAAAAAAAAGGATTGAATTACTTGACCTTGAAAAGCAATTTAGTTAATGACCCTCAGTAAAGGATGGATAGGGAGAATCAGTATTCATCTCTAGACGATCTTGGCCCATAAGATGCATATGCTTTCGTCCTCCATGACTGGTTGATCCAAATATAAACTTAGGATCCCTAAGTTTTAGAACTACATGAGACTATTTTCTTTGGTTAATGAGTTTGATGTGTATAAACTTCATGCATCGAAATTCCAAATAGCAACACAGCAATTGGGTGTGTAATGTGTATAGCTAGAGACAATGAGCGGGTAACAAGTAACTAGGGGAATATGACCCAAGAAAGTTTGGACTTTGGATCGAAAGATGAAACTTGGGTTGGGTTGGTTGAGAATTTATTAAATATTCAATGGACACAAACGACACAATCAATTGGGTTGAGGATTACAATATAATATTGTGACTTGTGAGAGGATTAAACGAACTTCAGAATTATTTAACGGAGAAGTAAGAACAGGTCCAATGCAGATTACTAATTTCTATTGTAGAGTTATAAACATTCAAAAGGTCAAAAATTCACTCCATGCATCTATATCCACTTATGAATTGACATCAATTCCGACTGACACTTACCCCAAATATACTTTGAACCAACAAATTCAAATTCTAACCATAGGCTGAACCGTCATTCTTCCATTATTTAATGGGAGAAAGAGATCAGAATCATCGGATATGTTTCCAGTAAGAGTTTGCGTTGAAATTCCCGTAGACAATTTTCTAATGTGAATAAAATTAGTCAACTTTCAGAGCCCATTTAGGATTTCTATTAAATCCAAAAGGCAATTAAAATAGCAGCAAACCTAATTGGGTTAAGTTCTCCTCCAAGTAAAAGAGGATCGTAGTAATGGATGACCGCACAAGTTGGGAGATCCAAACAAGAAATGCTTCTTTAGTAAGTTTACTGTTCAACCGTGAAACCATGGGCTACCACCAATTTAAACATTTTAAGACTCAAATAGGATATCCAGTCTCATAATTCTAGTCTACTTACTACTTGCAAAAAAAATAAAAAAAAACAGAACTTATTGTTCGATTACACACTATTTGATTGGATGAACAGAACTTATTTTATCAGTTCAATCTCGGGGCGTGGTCCAAATCACACTATTTGATTGACTCTTTATCAATCATGTAATGAGGTTAGACTTTCAGAAAACAAGCTACTTACACAGAAACATATTTACTCCACAATCAGCAGATGGCTTCTATGATGAATCAACCATGCACTAATAGATTCTTCTTCTGTTACTAATCCTTGTTTGCATGCTTCCCACTATTTCTTGACGATTGATTCCATTGGCGGTACTAAACAAGACTGTCCTAGACTTTTCTCCCTTGTCTTCATTTCTTCAATAATCAAGTTCGCACTTCTAATCTGTCAGGGAAATCAGAAAACGGCAATGACCAGAGAGCCATATGTAATTTAAGTTCATGATGATTTTTTGCCAATATGAAATGTAAAGTTTGACAGATGGATCAATGTGGTTTACCTGTTCCTCCAGGTTCCTCATTTTTTCACTCACCGAATTTACAGCCGTTTGCTCCCTGTAATAACCAAACTTAACAAACATAACCATGAGCTGCAAACAATAATATATAAAGACAGACAATGGTCACACTACAGATCAGATACTTAATTTGCTGCCCTTGGTACTCTATCTGGCTCGAGTCTGAGATCTCCAATTTGACAACCAACCTAAAATAGCTGTTTCATCCTGTCTATTTTCTTGAGTCTCTTTTTGAATCTCTAAAATTCAACTGGGGTTTATTTTCTATATCAGGTTTACTCTCCTGCATTTTTTGGACAAGTAATTTTATTGGAATAACAAAAGGGGAAACTCATAATAGATTAGGAAGCAGCCTCCACAAAGAATAGTTGATATTTGGAATTTTGTCACCCAAGTTTCAATCTACATGGAACTTTATTAAATAACTGAGCCAAAACATTAACAACATTGGTCAAATATCGATTATATTTTTTAGACCAATAAGCCTTGTTAACGGCATCTATAAGGTGGTGGCAAAGGTGTTAGCTAAAAGAATGAGAGGGGTAATGGGAAAACTAATATCAGAGTCTCAGGGAGCTTTCGTAGATGGGAGGCAAATTATCGATGGCATTCTAGTGGCAAATGAATTCATTGACTCCAAAAGAAGAAGTGGGGAGGAGGGGGTATTGCTCAAAGTGGACTTGGAAAAGGCGTACGACCATGTAAATTGAGAGTTTTTGGATTACATGCTTAAAAGGTTCAACTTTGGGAGGAGGTGGAGGAATTGGATAAAGGTGTGCATAACAACAGCTAGCTTCTCTATCTTGGTAAGCGGTGTTTCAGCAGTCAGATTTCAGAGTTTGGGGCCTAAGACAAGGTGACCCCCTATCTCCCTTGATGTTTATTTGTGTATTAGAAGCTTTAAGTATGTGGTTGACGTTGCAAGGAGCCTCCTTTTTTCTTCTTATGTTCCTATTAAGTTTTGGGGGGATGCTGTCCTGACAGCTACATACTTGATAAACCGGATGCCTTCCCGAGTTTTGGGTTTTAAAACCCCCTTTAGCCTCCTATTTCTAAATGATGATCACTTCTCTCTTCCTCTCCGAGTGTTAGAGTGCACTTGTTTTCATGTTCACAGTCATTGGAGACATAAGTTTGAGCCTAAAGCACACAAGTGTGTCTTCTTGAGATATGCCTCCACACAAAAGGGGTATTGTTGTTTTGATCCGGTTCGTGGCACTCGCTTTGTTTCCAGAAATGTCACATTTGTTGAGTCTGTTCCTTTCTTTGGTACTTCTCCTGAGGGGGAGCATTCAGAGGAGTTGTTTGTGGTGTCACCATTTGTCTCACTTCCAATCCCCATTGAGTCTCCTTTCATCGAGTCTTCTAGTGGGTCTTCTTCTCATGTTCCTGCTCCCCCTCCTCCTCCTGCTCATCCTCCCACATTTTCTTCCCATCCTATTGTCCGAAGGTAGTACTGGAGACAAAGACTCAGGGATGTGCAAGTTGTTTCCACACCTTTAGATGAGCCTCTTGCACCTCCCATCACTATTGAGGTAATAGGTCAGCCCTCTTCTACCACTTTTGATACCTTCCTTGACCTTGATCTCCCTATTGCTCTTCGCAAAAGCAAATGGAAATGTAAAACTCATTGCATTTCCAAACACTTGTCCTATAGCCTCCTTTCCCCTTCCTACTATTCCTTCATTGCCTTTGTTTCCACACATGTAAATCCTTGGCCTATCCTAGATGCCTTGTCCAAACTAGAATGGAGGGATGCTATGACGACTGAATTAGATTTTTGCATAAGAACAATACCTGGGAAATTGTGGACTTTCAGAGGGAAAGGAACCGGTTGGCTGTAAGTGGGCGTTCACTATCAAGTATCATTCAAATGGTACTATTGATTGATTTAAGGCCCGTTTGGTTGCTAAAGGATACACTCAGATGTATAGAATTGATTACCTGGAGGCTTTTGCCCTAGTGGCCAAAATGACTTCAGTTCAAGTTTTGTTATCTTTAGCTACTATTTTTGATTGGCCACTTCATCAATTCGACATTAAAAATGCTTTCTTGAATGTGGACCTACATGAAGAGGTCTATATGTCTTTACCTCCAGGGATGTATGGGAAGGAGATGCAAGGGAAGGTCTATAAACTGAAGAAGTCCCTTTATGGCCTTTAGCAATCTCCTAGAGCCTGATTTGACAGATTTCAGGATGCCCTTGTTACTTTTGGGTACACACAGACTCATTCAGATCATACCCTATTTGTTAAGAGGAGAGATTCCTTAGTGACCCTTTTGATTGTCTATGTTGATGATATTGTGGTTATTGGTAATGATACTTAGGAAGTTACTCATCTTAAAAGATTTCTTAACATTGAGTTTGAGATTAAAGACTTGGGTGAACTCAGATATTTCTTGGGAATTGAAGTTTCCAGGTCTAAGGATGGCATTTTCATTTCTCAACGACATATTGCAGAGATGGTAATGATACTCAACATGGCATCTTGCAGAGATTGGCAAACTGGGTGCTCGACCAGATTCCACTCCTATAGACCTAAATCATAAGCTGTCAGCTATTGATGGTGAACTGTTGACTGATAGGGAAGTGTTCCAGAGACTGGTTGGGAAGTTATTATATCTTTGCATGATTCGACCAGATATTTCCTATGTAGTTAGTGTAACTAATTAGTTCATGCATTCTCCCAGAGATACACATTTAGCAGCTGGTGAGAGGGTTCTGTGCTATCTAAAAGGGATTTTAGGGAAAGGTACCTTGTTTTCTAAGCATGAACACATGAAGTTGGAAGCATACACTGATGTTGACTAGGCTAGATGCATCGATGATAGGAGGTCCACTTCAGGTTACTGTGCTATGGTGGTAGGGCACATTGTGTCATGAAGGAGTAAGAAGCAGTCTGTAGTGGCTGGATCCTCAGTTGAAGCAGAGTACAGGGCAATGGCACATGGAGTTTCAGAACTTTTGTGGTTGAGATTACTTTTAGAAGAATTGGGTATAGACTGTGAAAAGCCAATGATGTTATATTGTGACAACCACCAGGAGAAGTCTGTCTACCATTTATTGCTTCTGAAGAACACTTGGTTGGTGTTTTGACAAAAGGTGTTCCTAAAGGAAAGTTGGTTCACTATATAAGAAAGCTAGGCATGATTGGTATCTATGCTCATCTTGAGGTGGAGTGTAGAGAGATTGGGCCGAATGGGCCCTAGCCCATTATCTTATTGATTAGTTCTTTCATGTTATTTTGTTCTTAATGGGCCTTCAATTCTTTTTATGTTTTCTAAGTATGCTAATGAGGTGGACGCCCACTTAAGGGCAGACTTATAATTTATGTAATCTTAGTAATATTAATAAAAGATTAGAGTGGAGAAAGGGGTAATTATCGAATTCCTCCTTCTTTCTCCCTTCTTTGCCATTCTTCCTTCTTCATCTTGCTGTCTTCTTCTTCTTCTTCTTCTTCTCTTCCTCTTCTGCTATAATCTGAAATATTTTACTATTTTTTTATTGGTCTGAATCACATCTCTATGCAACCAAAAAATCATGGGGTGTACAGGGATCTTAAAGAGGGGTAACAGGAAGTTATATAGATATTGACGCCTGATTGAAGAGGGGAACTTTGCTAAGGCCTTAGATTTATTGCATGAGACTAAAAATTGACCTTCTTCCTGGACCTGGATCAGCTAATAGTTGAAGGTGACTCAGGTGGCAGTAGGAAAAAAAGACTTCCATTAACAAAAGATCATATATACATTGACATCATATTATGCAAGTCAAGTGGCATGTAGAATGAATGAACTGCTTTAGTGTTCCAACTTCCAAGGTCTGTCAACAGCTGGCTGATAGCTAGAGGAGTGGGAAGGGAAAGTTTGTATTGGGGACACTTGGGCATTGAGTATATATCAAATTATATTGTTTATGGATTTACGGTGCAGTGCACAATGGTCCCCTCATCTAAGTCTTGTTCAGGTGTGTTTTTCTTTTGCTTGTTCTCTTTTTCATATTCAATAATCTCTTTTCTGGTAGTCTGGTATTAAAAAAAAAAAAGAGAAAAGAATGATTCATTCTAGGTAGTATTAATTTCAATCTTCATGGTATGAAGTTTTCTATGTCAAATTGAACATTATGCTCACAATAACATAGGATGAAATAAGGTCCTTCCAGACATTTTGGCTGGAAATGGGACAACTACTTACCGTTTTTTGGTCCTTAATTGTCTCCATCATTGTCCCAAAAATACTGGGTTTCCAATCCAACAGAATAGCGGTGTTGTGTTTCTTTCCAATGCCGAATGGCATGACCTTCTTTATACCTGAACCAAAATTTTCAGATAAGAAAGCTAACAGAAAAAGCAACAAGCAAATTTTTGGTTATAACTATAAGGACTATTTTAATCATAAAGGAAATAATTCTTATTTTGTAAAGTTAACTACCTCCCACACCCAACAAAACCACAGATAACACAAATCCAAAGGTTCTCAGAAGTTCCACAAACAGAACAATTTGACTTCTCAGGCTGTTGCTGGCAATATCGGCAGACCTGAGATGAAATGTAATGGTCATGTTGAGTTTCCCAACAGCTAGCCATCAAACCTGAATTGAATCATTACAAACCATCAATATCTCTACTTTCCCACAGAATTTCAACAAGAATAGGAAAACAACTGCCAAAATAAACGGTCCAATGTGTTTATTGCAAGAAGTTTTGCATGAGGGGACACTGTCTACTAGAAAACTAAATACATTGTATATTAATAGTCATGTGCCTTAAACAAATAGACATCTTGTTCACATGAACATCACTTTTTTGAGAGAAGGTAAAGTATTGTATTAAAATATAGCAAAAAGATTACAACATCCTACACAGAAAGAAACTGTGAAGGGCCTATATCCTTTCTGTGCATTTCTATCTTATATTCATAGATACAAAAAGAGATCTTGAATCAAAATAAGAACTATAAGGTTTGCCCCTGAAACTTTTCATCCAGATTGTCCAAACTACTGTTCACATGAACATCACTCCTTGTATTGTCACTTTGAAATGCTAAAGCTTTAAATGGTATAGGCAATTGTTTCTTTTGAAAGAACAAATATGGTCTAGGCCACAAGTTACTCATGCCAAACTTGGTAAAAGAAATCTCTGTAGAACTACGAGATGTCTTACACCAAAAAACTTTGGGTATAAGCTTTAGTGCCTAAGAAGTAGTTCAACTTCTGAATCTTATCTCAGTTCCAAACTACTTTGGGTCAAGACTCGTGAGAAAAAAGAGAGAAACTAAGGAAAAAACAAGGAAATTTTTGGGAAAGAAACTACTAGCACATAAGAACAAATAAAGCAATTACAGAAATTGGAGAAAACAGGGAAACAGGGGCAGTTAAAAATTTTGACATAAAATACCAAACTATTTCCTTAATTGCTCACCGGACAAGAAGAGTCTGTCCATTTTGAAATACAAGAACAATGGAAAGAATGATTGCAGATAGTTGTGAGGATTCCACTCATGTCTTGGTCTAACCTCTCTGTAAAAATTGAGAAATTAACAACAGTAAGGAAACCAGTTTATTAGACAGTGAGAAGGAAGACAAAATAAGGACAAAGAAATGACCAGGGGGGAGTACCAGAACTAATCTGGAAGGGCTACATCGCAATATAAGCAAGAACAAGACAATATACTTGCAGTCCCAAGTGACTCAGTGATCAGTAGAATGACGGTGAAATTTGCATTAAAAGGTTATAAAGAAAATGAAAATATGCAAATTTACTCCAAGAATGGAGGGAAATATGTGAAGGTAAATAATTAAAAATTTGAGAAAAAATTAGCAGCTTCAAATATTATTGTCTAATGAAAGGAACAAATCAAGCAACTCATCCAAATAATTGAAATTTACCAGATAATGGCAAAAGAATTTTGATCCGACATAAATTAATAGGGTAGAATGAGAGACACAGGGTATATAAACAAGGATTAATATGTACACTCTAATGACTTGGAAGAAAACACTATTAATTTCCAAGTCTATGAAATTGAGACTTGTATACAACAAGAGCACTATCAATTAAGATAAAAAGTATACAATGGGCAGATAGTAAGACAAAAGCAAAAGGAGCCTGCCAAGAGAACAAAATAAACAAGGAGAGAGTGAATAGAAAACCCCTGAAAAGCCAATTTACAGGCCTCTTCTGCAAAACAAACTACAAAAATAAATCAATTAAATCAATAAGGCAGAACTCAAGGTAGTTAGCAAGCAAAGCAATTGTCAAAATTTGATAAATGGATCATACTTTCTGGTCTTCTGTTCAAGTAAAACAAAATGCCTTTATGGGACATGCTCATAAAGAGACAAAGACAGTTTATTGTATTTCAACAAGGAGAGAGGAGTATATGAATCAACCAGGGAAACCTTGTCATTTTCATTTCTGACAGGCATTGGTTAATTATTTTGATCCAGGACATGCCATTTTACGGAATTTCATCAGTTTTTCTGACAGACTGTATGGAAAATCTTACCAAGGCATACGGGACAATAGGGCTCCTCCATTGAGCTTGCAGACGAGAACTGTGCATGTTCGATCAATGCAGCGTACTGTACATCTACTATAAAAAGGACACGACAAACTTCTTCCTGCATCCAATCCACAAAAGAATAAATCAGTAAGTTCTGTAACGAAAGGTATGACAGTGTAACAGAATGCTCAAAATACACAAGAGATAATTAATCAAGACAGACCTCCTGAGACGAGAAACGCCTTCCGTTGAAATGCTTGTAAAAATCATCAGCAGAATTCTGATTATCAAGCCTTATAAGAACACTATACTGGTCCCCCATTCCATCATTCCTGAATTCCCATCGGAATAACAATCAATCATGAAAAGAATTAAAAGAAAAGGAAAATGGAATGGGGCAATGATCTAAATGGTTTGCAAGTTTCATTTAAATAAAACCTGACGAGTCGCATCTCCAATATGTGCTGAATGAACGAATCGCAGAACTGGCAGAAGTTCTGTGGTTTCAAGTGATTCGGTACTGCTAGCACGCAAAGATATGGTTTCCTGTCGACCTGATAAAAGCCAAGAAGGACCACACCAGGCACGGAAATTTTATCATATAAAGAATGCTTGAAGATTTTCAAGCAAAAAGGACATAATACTAATTCTTGATTTCTTATTTGATCTTCTTTCTCGCCTATTTCCAATTTCTAAAGAACTCTAAGTCCAAGACGAACTGGAACCGGAAGAATGAAGGCAAGAAAGGTGAACTTAGACGGAAAAGAAGGACAAGTCCACACTTACCGGAAGTTGAGAAGTTGAGGAAAATATATCATCACGATAAAGAATCATAACCCCCCTGGTTTCTAGGATTCCAGGGTTTCCGGACGAGAAGGCCAGCGACTGAGTGACGTCAGAGCCAGAAGGCTCGCTCATATCGCCGGGATCAACTGCGGTTGATGGACGGAGTACATCTTCAGGCGTCGAGCCGGTGGCAGCGCTGTCGCTGGTAGAGGTGGTTGACATGGTTGAATCTTGAATAATGAATAGTAACAAATGAATAGTTTCGAACTTTCGATGGTTTCGAATTCAATCCATTGAATTATTTATAGTTTCCCGCCGGGCAAGAACCGGAGAACTCAACCGGATACGCAACTGGTTCAACCGGAACTATAAGTTTTATTTCTTTGATTGTTGAACGCTGGGTGGCGGCCTGACGGGTGCAGGAGCCGGATCTCCTTCAAGCAAAAGTGCAAAACCTCTGCGCACAGCATCCCATATTTTAGTGGTTTGCTGAACCTTGGGCGAACCCTTACTAGTTTGCAGTAGCTTACTAGGATCAACTCGATCCGACCAAAAAACAGAAAAACCGGGCGGTTCAACTGAGCACCAGGGAAATTTGGTCAACTTACGACTACCGTGGACAGAGCTTAGAAATGTTTCCAACAGATGAAGCCTACACAGTTATTACCGGAATGGGCGAAGATCTCTTGTCCGAAGAATCCCAGCTCTGTTCTTCTCCTTCGTCTAATCGTCTTTTCCATTTCTTTGACTAGCATTCTTTCTCTTTATTTCCACGGATAAAAAGATGGAAACCAGAACCCTAAAACTATCTCCCGGTTACAGTCTCTTCTCTGCAACCAAAATCGCTCAAAAGAACATTGTTTTCTTCCAGATCTGCGTCTTCCTGATTACTTTTTTAGCTTACGCTTCGTTCCACGCTTCTCGAAAGCCCCCAAGCATTGTAAAGAGCGTCCTAGGCCCCGAAGTACAATCTAATGAAGCTGCAATTTCCGAAACTGGGCGCAATTCGAGCTCAACTGATACCGGTTGGGCTCCGTTTGATGGAGAACGTGGACCTCATAGGCTGGGAGAACTCGATCTGGCTTTCCTGTCTGCGTATTCTTTAGGGATGTATTTTGCTGGGCATATTGGTGATCGAATTGATCTTCGGCTCTTTCTGACATTTGGGATGGTTGCGAGTGGGGTTTCTACAATTGTTTTTGGGTTGGGATATTGGTGGAAGATACATTCTTTAGGGTTTTTCTTGGTGGTTCAGATTGTGAGCGGGTTGTTTCAGTCGACCGGATGGCCTTGTGTTGTTGCGGTTGTTGGGAATTGGTTCGGGAAAGCGAAGAGGGGACTGATAATGGGGATCTGGAATTCTCATACTTCGGTTGGCAATATCGTTGGTTCGGTTGTTTCTTCGTCTGTGTTAGATTTTGGTTGGGGCTGGTCGTTTGTGTTGCCGGGCATTTTCATTATTTTGGTTGGCATTTTGGTTTTCCTGTTCCTTGTCGTGAATCCTGAAGATGCAGGGTTTGTTTCTCCTGGGAAAGAGATAGAGATGAGTTCTGAAGTTGAATCCATGAAGAATTTGGAAGAGATCAACGGGGAAGAAGAGGGTCTCCTTCACTCCGAACATCCAGATTCAACAGCTGCAATTGGATTCTTAGAGGCTTGGAGGTTACCGGGTGTAGCACCATATGCTTTTTGCCTTTTCTTCTCAAAACTCGTGGCTTACACCTTCCTGTACTGGTTGCCTTTCTATATAAGGCACACAGGTATGTATGTGATTGCTAAAATTTTAGCTCCAAGCTCTACTTCAGTAATGAAATTCTGGATTGGGTTAGTATTTACTTTAAATTCATATTTGCACTGAAGCTGTTGCTGGGAAGCATTTATCAAACAAAACTGCGGGAATGCTGTCAACGATATTCGATATAGGAGGAGTATTTGGTGGCATTATGGCGGGATACATTTCTGATATGACTGAGGCCCGTGCTCTTACATCAATTCTATTCTTGATTTTCTCAATTCCTTCTCTTATTCTTTATCGTATTTATGGAAGCTTCTCTATGTCCACCAACATTGTGTTGATGTGCCTTTCTGGATTGCTTGTGAATGGCCCGTATGCACTTATTACCACAGCTGTTGCAGCTGATCTGGGTACACAGAGCTCGATCAATGGGAATTCCCGAGCTTTAGCTACTGTCACAGCTATCATAGATGGTACTGGTTCTGTTGGTGCAGCTTTGGGCCCACTGCTGACAGGATATATTTCGACCAGAGGATGGAATAGTGTTTTTGTGATGCTTATTCTTGCTATTCTTTTTGCGGCTCTGTTCTTGATTCACCTTGCGCACACAGAGATTAGAAGCAAGATGAGTGAAGGAAGATAGCTTTGTTACAAGAAGAGAGTGTAGTGACAGAAACCTCTATTGCTCAGCCATTTTATTATTCTATTTTTTGTTCTGTGCTGCTCATTTAGTCATTCTTTATACTTGTTCATTTTTGGTCTTTAGTAAATGCATGTAAAATAGAACCACACACGAATGAAATTCTCCCTTTTCTCCATTTTATTAGAAGAGATCTGGGATATTGACATCATATTGTTTTTTGGGTTTCTTCTAACAATGCAATACTTCCATGTCTACTATCTGGCCAGGAATACAATATCAAATTATCCTCTGTTCAATTGGAAAAACTTGTTTCTTCTCTCTCAATAATGTGTTTATGTTTCTTTAATCAACAACAATATAAACAGAAATTATACATTCCTTCACTAATTGACCCCAAATATATTGCTCTTACACTTCCAAAATCCCTTCTTCACCAATTATACATTCAGCTTCCAAAATCCCTTCTCCAGGGGTTTCCATACTCTTATAGCCTTAACCTTTTTTGTTGAAGAAGCAGCCTTGATAATATGCTTACTTCGTAGAATATTGAATGTTTTTGCATCAGCTTAATGCACTAAAGGTGATCATACCTTTGATTATGTTATTACCTGGTTCAGCCTTCAGTTAACGGATGTTTGAGTTCTTCAAGAGGAAGAAAACAATTGCTGTACATGAACCACCTATTTGTGTGTGTTTGTTATGGGCCTGAGAATAGGATCTCGTCACGGGTCGGTCCACGGGAAAAACAGGTTTTCCCTTGTTCCTCCCTTTTCTTGAAGAACCTATCTTGTCACCCTAAAAGGTGATTTGTTCAAGAGATCACCAATTCTCCTTTGCTCTCTTTCTTGACTGAAATTTTCGATGCCTTTATTGAATAATATCAGCTCCTTAAATAGGAGATTACAAGAGGTACGAGTCCTACTTTTAGGAAGACTCCTTGCTAATTAGGAAGACTCCCTACTAATCTATCCTACTGAACTGATAAGATAAGATAAGACTCCCTTAATCTATCCGACTGAACTGATAAGATAAGATAAGACTCCCTTAATCTATCCTACTGAACTGATAGGATAAGATAAAACTGAACTGATAAGATAAGATAAGACTCCCTTAATCTATCCGACTGAACTGATAAGATAAGATAAGACTCCCTTAATCTATCATACTGAACTGATAAGATAAGATAAGAATGCTGAATAGATAAGATAGAACTGTATCTAGCTGGAATTAGATAAGATGAGAACTGAAAACACCCAATTACTGCTGCTGCCGGCGGCTATACTTCTTCCCAATAAACGTGTCCACATCATTACTCCCCTCCTGGACTAAGAGCTTGTCCTCAAGCTCGAAATTAGGATATGTGTCTTAAAACTCAATCAAAGGAATCCAGGATAGGTGGAATGATTTTGCTCCCCCCTGGATCGGGTTCCAATGAAGAGGGTTCATCCTCAGACAGCTGCAGTGAGATACCAAGATTTGACCATGCGTAGCTGCATTCTTTGTCGCGGGCAACTGCAGCCTTAAGGTACTTCTGAGATGTCTTGAACCGTAGAGTATAAAGATTGTGAAGGCCAAGCTGGTGCCACTGAACCGCATCATCTGGATCCTCTTCTATTGTCTGCTTTAGTGTGTACAGAGSTTGCTCTTCCACTTCCGTCAAATCATTATGTCCAGTTTCAAACGTTGCTGCAATTTCATGCTGAGCCTTGTGAACCATGGCAAGTCCTGCCCATGCTATCCGAAGCTCAATTGTTGCAGAGTCCCCTTCTCTGAGTATTGAA